AATTTGTTTTGTTTTAAAAATCCCTCTGGATTTCACGGTCCTGGGGGCTGAAATTTCCCCCATAAGATATGGGAAGTCCCGCACGGGCACTGATTTTCAGCCTTGAGGGTTCTGTACCGATGCATGGGGTCCTCCAAAGCTTATCTGAACAGCAAGATGTTGCCTCTACTAAGTCTATGTCTTCTAGCTTTCCAACCATGATTCAGACTCACTCAAATCGGGCCACTCTTGGACTTGAGACTAGTGCCATAAGGTCCTCAAAAATATTTTAACTAAACAATCTTCTATTAGGAGGTTAAGGGAGAAGGGACGGTTTCGAGACAAGGCATGAGGAAAGAAAGGATGAGAACTGGACAAGATCCTGGCACTCAGGGGAAACTGAAATCCTTACCCTTAACCACCTGCCTGGCTTATGGAGCTGCAGATTGGGGTAGAACAAGCATTACAGTTTCCTGGTCTCTGTTTCCAGAGTACTACCCCTTCTTCGTCCATGAGGGACCCCTCCCCTTCCCGTCCTCACATCACTGTACATACCCCCAAACACACGTGTACACCCCCAAACATACACGCGCACCCCAAACACATGTGTGCGCACACACACTCCTTCCCCCCAGCCAGCACATTCCAGCAAGAAGTCTGCATTTTTCTAGGGGCGGGAGACAAGGGAAAATGCAAGAAGTCAAAGTAAGCCCACACCAAAGTATTATTTCCTCCCTAAAACCAAAACAGAATAGAAACTACCAATTATATATCTTACCTTTGTTTTCTTCGCCCTCCCCCCAGCAGAAAAGGGGCTGTCATGATCAAATCCATGTTTTTAAATTAAATGAAACAAAAAAGGCATCCAACACCATTCGTGACACATTTATTTCAGTTCCGGCAGACCTCCTTCAGGCATCCAGCAGGATGTATGACTGTTTCCTGGCATTTGGGGCTTTGTCCAATTTCATTTATTTATTTTTTCTATTTTTGGAGGGAGGGAAGATTTGCCTGATTTTAATACCAGGCTCATCAAATTGTAACGATTAGGGTGAGTTTATTAATATTTCTCCATGACATTAAAAAAAATTTTTTTTATTGACTAATCTCTACTCCCAATATGGGGCTTGAACTCACAAACCCTGAGATCAAGTGCCACATGCTCTATGGTCTGAGCTAGCCAGGCACCCCTTCTCTACAACATTTTTAATTAGTTAAATATCCCTTCACTGAATCAGATGCCACAAATGAGTAAATTTTTGTGAAGGATAATCTGCCCTCGCCTTGTTAACATTCACAATCACGAGTTTCGGCTTACATAAATCCTTCTGAGGAGCCTGCAGCATCCCAGCCTGTGGGAAGATGGGAAGGAGACTACTCATTTGTCTCCCTGGGAGTGTGAGCCCTCCTCTCCTGGCTGCCCAGCCACCAACACTGATTTCTGCAACCTCCGCTCTGAATCCTGCCGCTTAAACATTAACATATTCTCCTAAACCTCTGGGTGTTTTGTGGGTGAGTTGCAGCTGAATTAACCACTTTTCTGCAAATTCCCCAAGAATTCCTTGAAGACGACTGAGTCAGAGAGACAAAGTACAGCTAACGGCTCTCAGACTTTTAATGCACTAACTGCCCTTTGAAATAGAAGTTCTTCCCAAACTTGTATTTCTAACAAAATTACGCATAAATATGCATTAAAATGTGTACTGAAGGATCACGCTGTCCAACTGCTCATCTACAGGAAATGAGAACATGGGGGTTTGCAGTTTTCAGCCATCACATCATTTTGCAAAGTCAGAACCCAGGGCAGGAAGTTCACGGGCTCTGCTGTCCTGACCCGGGAGCTCAGGCTGGGCTCTGTGGAAAGATGAACCCCACCTTCTGCGAAAACACTCTCTAGATTCTCAGAAATCGACACATTTGGGTGAAAAGGGCAGGTTTGTATTTGCATTTCATGTTCGTGTTAGTATCGGGATGATTAATACTAAACATTTACTTGAGAAACAACAGCTTGCAAACTATTGAAACATCCGCTACATTGTAGTCAGGTGGAGAGAACTGTAAGAAGCAAACATCCACGTGTTTTAAGGCGGTCTTTTCCGCATAGACTCACTTAAATTTCCCCTGCCATGTGGTCTAGTTCTTGAGAGGAACTAGAAGTCAAACGAGGTCCCCTGGTCAAATGTGTGGTTGCAAAAGATTTGGGAGAAAAAAAAGAGAAGGACTCCCCCACCATTCTGGTCTTGTGGTTGCTTACAGACTGGGGAAGGTGCCCCACATGCCCCGTATTTAGGTGCCCTGATCTGCACAAAGCAGAAGGTTAACAGCCATTTGTGGTTTGTTCACTTGCCATTTATTGTTCTGCACATACACCTCATGAGCACCAGGTGGCGATGTCCTCTCACAGAGCAACACCAAGGACTTCAAAACACCAGTTACAAAGATTTAGGTTAGGACATTCATCTTCCCTCTCCCAGAAAACCCCCCACTCAATTGCCAGTGACCACAGACAAGAAGAGGGGACAGGGCCCTTTCTTGTACCACACGGGGCCTGCCCCCTACCCTCTCATGCACACAACAGTGCAATACCAGGACGAGTACTTTTGACCAAGTGTAAAACCACAGAGAAGTCCAAGTTTTACAAAAAAGGTGCGGGAAAGGGCATGAAACACAAAGGCACACACAACCACATATACACAAGTAACCTTTAGGGGATGGGCATCTGACAGAGTTTGTCTGCAATCCCATTTGTCATCCCTGCAGACTCAGGAGGGGACAAAGTAGGCTGCTGGTGCATGAAAGGAAAGGCATGGGATTCCCCTCACGGGCCAGGAGACACAGCAGGAACAGCCATGGTGGGAAAACATCCTGTGTTGGAGGGGTGGGTGCTCAGGACCCCTGCTAGCAGGGTTCTCACTGAGCCCGAGACTGTGCCTTTCCGGGCCGGCACAGAGAAAGGGCAAAAGGACACCCCTTCCACGCCTTGCCTGGCACAGTGTTAGAAAGGAGAGTCAAGACCCCTTCTGCCTAGAAAGCCCCCAAGAGGAGCAGCATGAGGGTGAGATCATGCCTACGGAGCACCCCAGGGAGGAAGAGAACCAGGGCGCAGACATCGTCAGCATCCGAAGGGGGAAGTCTTGAAGGTACGAAGACTTATCCTGAAAGAGGAATTGCCCCTGGCACCCTACCTGCCTGGTCCGTTCTCGGAGTCCTCTCCCTTCTTCATTCAGCTGTCCCCTTTCCCACCCGTCCCCTCTTCTGCCTACTGCAGGGAAACCAGCCTCTCCCGGCTGCCCTCTGCCAGTGGTCAGGGTGTATTTTCTTCCTCTCCCCACCTACTCCACAGCTGTGTATTTCTACCCACTGACCCTCAACCCCTTTCCTCAGCCCCGTGGGTGAGAAGCTCGGCAGACACCTGACCCGGGTCTCCCGCTGAAGGCGGGGATGGGACTAGGTCTCCAGTGAGGCTCTTCCACCATCTCTGGTACACCATAGCCTGGCAAAGGGCAGGGGGTGGGTGTGATATTAAACACCGCAGCAAGGTCCCTTCCGCTGAGTTCAGATGTTTCCTCCCGACTGTGGTAGAAAACTGTGCCCTGTGGAGCCGTGAACTCAGGCCCTATGTCCTGGTCCACTGGTAAGATAAGACGGCAGGCGGCCAACAGGAGAAAACTGACCGAGGGTGTCGGGAACAGTTCCTCCTGTCAGAGCTCCTCTGCTGGAGCCAGTTAGCATCCTGATAGCCATCTAGAGAATGAAGAAAGGCTCAGCGCCAGCATGTCCCGAGGAACTGGGTGACTCTCAGGTGAATCCACTGGTCCCATCAATGTGAAAACGGCTGCGGGCAAACAGCAAGCAGCTACGGAGCCAGTTCGCAGGAAAGCCTGGCTTTGGGTTCTAACTTAAGTACCATTTCTGAAGGTTCTTTCGTTTCATTTTTCTAGCATCAAAAACCTTCCAAATATTATGAAATATATATGGATATATATACGTCAAACCCCCAAAACATGAGGTATATAAATTCAAATTAGTATCCAGAGGAACTTCCCCCAAACACATAGTTCAAAGAACCCACTTTCTAAGGGAGATTTGGGATTCCCTTCTTGATCCCCCTTCTCTCCTCCCTGACCCCCAATTCATTCCTTAAGGGAAGTGGAAAGCAAGAGGAATGCTGGAGAGGGTATAGACAAGAGTCTTGGGACACAACCCAAACGCAGGTTGGACTGGACCACGATGTGGTCCCAGCCCTGTTAGGAATGAGCGGAAAAGTCTCCCTCCATGCTCCAGCTCAATCTGTGATAGATGAGGGGGTCCAGCACCACCTCGGGGCTCTGATTAGCAAATGTGCATGGAGACAGATCAAAGCCCTCATAGAAACAAGACTGGGTGAATTGGTTAGATCCGATCTTGAGAGAGATATAAAAAGGGGTCAGTCCAGCCCTCACCTTACACGTCTCCCCAAGCACAGTTCGCTGGGGCATCTGGTAAGATACATGATTGTTACCATCTGGGTCCAAGTTTACTATGGGATGGGCTGCAAAGGGTGAGGAAGGGTAAGGAACCACAGCCTGATTGTTTGACCCCATCAGAACTGGAGTTGGACAGTTTGCAAAAAGGATGGGAGAACAGGATGGGACTGTCCACCAACCTGGCCCAGTGGTGCACACACGCACACACACAGATATGCACATACACAGATGGCACAGAGCCCAACATGGGCTCTACTCACAGTGACTTGATGAAACTCATGGAATCTCTGAGCTGGTCTGGGATGAGTTGGGAAGAAGGCTATGGGCTCCTCTCCCTGAGGACAGTTCAGATGCGAAGTGGGATGCAGACTCTGGTCTGATCAGAGAGGGGCTGGAAACATCACGGGATGCCACCCCAGAGAGGAATCCCAGAGTCCATCCATCCACACAAAAGAACCAGATGCCTCTTTGGACAGGTCAAAAACGTGAGGAGGGAGGGCTCAGAGAAGCCAGGGACTGTGATGAGAGCTGAACGTGCTCCCAGAAACCTCCCTGACCCTCTTGGCGGGAAGTGCTTCCTTGCTGTACAACGAAGCATTGATTTCTGATGTCACAGCAATTTAGTGGTTCACCCCTTTCCCCCCAATCGTGCACAGTGAGAGCTCCTCGCCTCCAGAGGAGGAGAGAAAAGCAGAAACTCCGCTCTCAAAGGAGAGTGGAAGCAGCAAGAAGCCAGCTAAGGTACTGAACCTCAGGCTTCACAAGGCCCGGGTACAGAGTGCCCTTGCACTGTCCATACCCTAAGTGTGCTGACCATGCCCCCTGCTTAGGGGGGTGGGGGGTTCTTGCCTACCCAGCACCAAAAACTCCATGGGAACAGACTGAGGATGGCCCTCATCCCATGTTTCCTTTGCGGAGGATGAGGGTTATGAATGACGTCACCTTACTCAATCTCCCTCCCCCACTGTGGCCAGGAGGGATGGGGGATGGGGACAGGACAGAAGGGGAGATGAGGGAGTCGGGAGGGCATGGCATCAACTTCCACCTTGACTCTCCCACTTCCTGCCCTGTGGTCCCCATGGCCCCTCCTAGCCCAAAGACCCCCCAACCCCACCCCAGCTCAGTCCTTCTCCTGAGCAGTGCTGTCCTCAGAAATGCCCTGGGCAGCCAGTTCAGCCAACACGTTATCCAGGTAATTGGCATCCGGGTAGCCGTGACCTGTGAGATTAGAGCCGAACTCTGTCTTGTGGTGGACCTCATTCCAGATCACGGTGTCTGACTCGCCCGTGGTGCTGGAGGTACCAATGGCAAAGATGAGGCGGCGATCCCAGGCCACAAGCAGCAGCTTCAGCACCTAAGCCAGTCAAGGCAAGAGACCAAAGGCAGACATTTAATGTTGGTCAAAGACTATGCCTTGGAGAGTAGAGCCTTCCCAAGGGTCCACCTCTATTTGCATCATGATGCCCCAAGCAGCACAGTGAAAAGAAAGAGTTTGGGTGTCGAGTTAGGGAGGCGCGAGTTAAGTGTTGGTTCTGTCACTGTCACTGTCACTGTCGAACTGTGTGAACTTGGACAAATGACATCACCTTTCTGAGCCTTAATTTCCTCACTTACAAAATGGCGATGCTATGATCTGCTAAATGTTACAGGCACTTTCACAGCAGAGACTGACTCACGTTACTCCACAAACATTAGTTGTCAGCAACATGGCTAAAAGATAGGACCTAGGACTTCAAGGAACTTATGATCCTAGAGCTTCTGAAGCTGTGTCCTCTCCTCCCACCCCCCAAATGTAGTATTAGAGCACACGCAGCTAAAGATGTGCCATGGCTCTCCAGTGATGGGGTTGGAAATGCTGTGACATCAGGCTTTTTTTTTTTTTTTAAGATTTTATTTTTTTGACATACAGCGCGCGCACAAGCAGGGGGATTGGCAGACAGAGGGAAGGGGAAAAGCAGGCTCCTCGCTGAGCAGGGAGCCCAATGCGGGGTTCGGTCCCAGGACCCCGGGATCACGACCTGAGCTGATGGCAGATGCTTAACGACTAAGCCACCCAGGCATGCCTCTACCAGGCTATTTCATATTTGTTTGCTGACCTGGTCCTCACAAGTCCACCTGTAGGCAGATCTGGCAGGGGTTATTATCGTCTCTATTTAATAGGTGAGACCCGGCGAGGTGTTAGGGCTTACAGAATGTTCTAATTCAGCTAAATTTTTAAAAATTGTCGTTGAGTGGGCGCCTGGGTGGCTCAGTGGGTTAAAGCCTCTGCCTTTGGCTCAGGTCATGATCCCAGGGTCCTCAGATGGAGCCCCACAACGGGCTCTCTGCTCAGCAGGGAGCCTGCTTCTTCCTCTCTCTCTGCCTTCCTCTCTGCCTACTTGTGATCTCTGTCTGTCAAATAAATAAATAAAATCTTTTAAAAAAAAATTGTTTTTGAGTAAGACAACTGCCTACCACCCTGTACAGCATGAAGAAAGCATGATGAAAATGCCCGGGATTCCAAAAAGGACTACCACGGGATACTTGGGTGACTCCGTCGGTTGAGCATGTGACTCTTGATTTCAGCTCAGGTCATGATCTCAGGGTCCTGGGATGGAGCCCTGCATAGGGTTCAGCTCTCATCCGGGGCATCTGCTTGAGGATTCTTTCCCTCCGCTCATCCTCCTACTCTCTCTCTTTCTCTCTCTCTTTCTCACTCCGCCCCCTGCTCTCTCAAATAAATCTTTTCTTAACAAAGTTATATTTGGATATCAACTTCAGGAGGATGGGGACCAGCACCCCGACCCCTGAGTTATTAAAGAGTCACCTGTGTATCAGTGGAAAAGGACATGAAGACACAATAAATAAATATGAGCCAAAGCACATGTGATTACAACAACAGCTGTCAACACCCTGGGCATTTTAGAAATGCTACTTTCATTTAATTTTTACAACATCCTGTCCATGCAGATAGAAATTGTCACCACTGTTTTATAGATCTGGAAACTAAGACTTCAGAATGTTAATCTTTTATGCCAGTCCCCACATCTGGTAAATGCAGAACTAGGACTCTGTCCGAGGCCAGTCCAGCTCCCAAACCCATGGTCTTATTACCTTGCTGTGCAAGAGTCCAAGGTTAGGTCCCCCGACCGGCAGACAAATGAAGGATAGAGGTGAGGAATTAGTGTGAGAGGAAGGCTTAGACCCACACTGTAGTAGGTCTGTGTGCCAAGCTGAGAAGACAGCACATTATAACAAAAGAAGGGAAAGATATCAGAACAATTTTTTTTTTCCAGTTTATCTCTTATCAACAAACAGCTTGATGCTAGAAACTGGGCTTTTGGTACCTAACCTGGGAGGCTACAAGGTGACTCGGTCTGTTAAGCCTCCAACTCTTGGTCTCAGCTCAGGTCTTGATCTCAGGGCTGTGAGTTCTAGCCCCGCACTGGGCTCTATGCTGGGCATGGAGCCTACTTTCAAAAAAGGATACTTAACCTGGTGACAGGTGAAAGACGGAAGTATTTACTAGGTTGGCAGTGGCAGGATTAGAAAATGACTCAAGTGGGGTGCCTGGGTGGCTCAGTGGGTTAAAGCCTCTGCCTTCGGCTCAGGTCAGGGTCTCAGGGTCTTGGGATCGAGACCCACGTCGGGCTCTCTGCTCAGCGGGGAGCCTACTTCCTTCTCTCTCTCTGCCTGCCTCTCTGCCTACTTGTGATCTCTGTCAAATAAATAAATAAAATCTTAAAAAACAAAACAAAAAAAAAGAAAGAAAGAAAGAAAGAAAAGAAAAGGAGTCGGTGGTTTAGTGAGCAGTTCATGGGTAAATGCTCTGAACAGGGTGGTTGCTCAGAATAAGAGATCACTAACTTGTCCAGTCTGGGTCCCAGGGATCCTTGGTATGTCATTAACATGGGAACAAGGCTTGGAAGAGGAACAGCTCTCGGCAAGAGGGTTTAAGTTTTAGCAGTAGGAGTTTACAGTGGACATGTTTAGCCAGCAGCTGGGACGGTTGATCTGGGGCTCAGGTACCGACATGTGTCTGTTCAGAGCAAACAGGTATCAGGCCTAACCCTGACTCCTAATCTAGGGATCCCACACTGGGCACATCTTCACGTTATGGTTGATTTTCTCACTGTTCCAAACGATCTGCTTTCTCCTCTGTAAGAGGAAAACACAGCCATACCCTTTGCCATGGGACCCAAGGGGCCACTTCTGGAAAGTTCATGACCTCATTGCCTGTGTAGTGCCCATGACTTGTTGGGCTCAGTGACATGTGACTAGAAGCAAGAAGCTTTCAGGCACAATTCTAGTAGGGTTGTACAGTGTCACTTGGATTCTCTCTTGGTCCTCGGCCCCGTTCTGTGGGATGGGCATAGGTCACAGAAAGGCTGCTTCTTCACCCCAGATTCCAGGACATGGAGCCACATGGGCAGACTGAGCAGACTCACAGCAGCAAACAAGCCATAGCCACTGGCATGTAAAGTGCATGAGAAATAAACATTTGTTGAAGTCGCCTCTGAGACTGAGGTTGTTTGTTACACAGCATGACCTGGAGAAAGCTAGCTGAAATCCACCCCTTGGGGGGCGCCTGGGTGGCTCAGTCAGTTAAGCATCTGCCTTCAGCTCAGGTCATGATCTCAGGGTCCTAGGATCGAGCCCCACATTGGGCTCCTAGCTCAGCAGGGAGCCTGCTTCTCCCTCTCCCTCTGACCCTCTCCTACTCCCTCCACTCCCCCTCCCCCTGCTCATGCTCTCTCTCACAAATAAATAAAATAAAATCTTAAAAAATAAAATAAAACCCAGCTCTTGTCCAACACTGCCCCCCAGCACCCCACAAAAAGGGACACAACACCCCCTTAGATCAACAGTTCTTATCCTTTTTGAGATTAGGCAAGTTTTAGAAAATTCAATGACTTTCTGGCCTTTGCCACAGAAAAATGAACATAAAAACTTTATTCTAACTTTATAATTTATAGAACCACTGAAGCCTGACCACAAATCACTGGGAACCCAGAAACCCAGTGATTTTTCCCTCTGCCTTTTTGGGGCCATCATAGGATACAAAAGTACATTATAAAAAAAGTAATCTCCCCCAAATTAAGATCTCTGCCCCAGAGCAGTGCCTCTGAAGTTTTAATGTGCTGTCAGATCACCTGGGATCTTGTTAAAACGAAGCAGGTTCCAAGGTTCTGCATTTCTCCCAAGCTTCTAGGTGTGGCCCTGGTGCTGGTCCCAGGACCAGCAGCTAATAAGCAGCAAAGTGTGAGAGAAAGGATCCTAAAATAGATGAATTATTGCTGGTATTATCCAGGAGAGAAAAAACCCTGCCCCCACACCCCTGCAAGAGAAAAAATTCTAATCATACCCGCCCTTACCTATGGCTGACTCAAATATGGCCTTGGCTACCATGTGCATTTAGAGTAAAAAGAGACCCCGCACTTTTTAGCCTGTGCATGGCAGGAAGCAAAACCTGGGTCCTGACATAGAAGGAAATCCTCCCCCACCCCACCCAGACGCCCGCTCTTACTTTTCTCCCTTTCTCGCTGTCTGGAAGGTAGCAGTGTCGTGGGAAGCCACGGGCGCTGAAACTCTTCCCGGGATTTGGGTGTTCTGGCCCCTGAAAGCAGAAAGAAATACAGCCAAGAGCAGTTTTCAGACGAGATCCGGCCCCTTTGGCGGGGGGGGGGGGGGGGGGCGGGCGGGGTATGGCCGTAGAGAAGTTTTCGAAAAACTTTTTAAAAATATTTTATTTATTTGACAGAGAGAGAACAGAGAGAGAAGGAACACAAGCAGGGAGAGTGGGAGAGGGAGAAGCAGACTCCCCGCTGAGCAGGGAGCCAGATGTGGGGCTCGATCCCATGACCCTGGGATCGTGACCTGAGCCAAAGGCAGACACTTAACGACTGAGCCACCCAGATGCCCAAGTTCTCAAAATACTTTTAATGAAGGGACACAGACTGTGACAAATGCAAATAATGATGACAATAATAAGGGTCATAGTGTCTAGGCAGAAACAGATCACAAAGCTGTGACAGGAGCGGTGTGACGCATGCACAGTGAAGTCTTTAGACCCGGGTCTGGACCCAGAGCTGCCACCTCCCAGAGGTGCTGTCTGGAGCCCTCTCTTGGGGTGTTGGTTCCCTGTCTGCTAAATAGGGAGAATACTAATGTTAAGTGTGCTTGGCCCCCGGGGCATAGTAAGACTCCGTAAATGTTCACCGTCATCACCCATCAGCTCTGCTGGCTGTTTGCTTTTACAAAAGACGAAAACCTGCAGCCTAGAGAGGTTACAGGGCTCCTCCAACAGCTTTGCCCAAACTTAAATCCAGATTTCCTAGGGCACACTGAACTGTTTACCTCCAGACTACTCAGAATCACGAAAGTGCCTCCAAGCCAGGGGCCGTGCTAGCCTCTTCTTTATCTGTTCATCCACTGATGGACCCTTATCTTAGGTTTCTTCTCTGCCTTGGCTATTGTGAATAACGCTGCAGTGACCATGGGGGTTCACCAATACCCCAATTAGGCAAGCAGTCTCCTGGGGCTGGGTGGGAAAGGAACTGACACAGAATTCACCCAGAACCCAGGCTTCCTAATTAGGGTCCAGAATGCGTCCACAGGCCCCCTGAGCAACTCACGAAAACAGCGGGATTTTCTGCCAGGACCACGGCACATACTTCCCCCAACCCATCCCCGTCCACACACAAATGTCTGCTTATAATTTCTGAGCATCTCTGACCCCCTGAGGGTCTGTGGGAGCCCTTGAAAAATCTCTTCTAGACGAAGCCTGGCTCCTGGTACAAGGTATCCTACAAATGGGAAATGAATTCTGGCTAAAAAAAAATGAGTGAACGATGGGGTGCCTGGGTGGCTCAGTGGGTTAAAGCCTCTGCCTTCGGCTCAGGTCATGGTCTCAGGGTCCTGGGATAAGCCTTGCATTGGGCTCTCTGCTCAGCGGGGAGCCTGCTTCCTCCTCTCTCCCTGCCTGCCTCTCTGACTACTTGTAATCTCAGTCTATCAATAAATAAATAAAATCTTTAAAAAAAAAAAAAAGTAAGTGAATGAGTGAATGAATGCGTGAATGACAAAACTGAAAGAAAATACAGACTTTTTGTTTTGTTTTGTTTTGTTTTGTTTTGTTTTAAATAATGGATGTGATTCCAAATTGATGTTAAAATCCTGTGATTTAAAAAAAAATTTTAAGGAGCCCCTGGGTGGCTCAGTCCATAAGCATCTGCCTTCTGCTCAGGTCATGATCCCAGGCCCGTATCGGGCTCCCTGCTCAGCGGGAAGCTGTTTCTCTCTCTCCCACTTCCCCTACTTGTGTTCCCCCTCTCGCTGTCTCTCTCTCTCTCTGTCAAATCTTTTTTTAAATTAAATAAATAAATAAATAAATAAATAAAATTTTAATGGGGTAGAACAGATCATCTATCGTTTCACAAACTGAATGATATAAGTACACTATCAGAAAAGGGAAAGGTCCCTGTGGGCATCTGAGAGAGGCAACACCATCTTCTTTTATTTTAAAGATTTTATTTATTTTATAGAGAGAGAGGGAACACAAGCAGGGGGAGTGGGAGAGGGAGAAACGGGCTCTCCACTGAGCAGGGAGCCCGATACAGGGCTCCATCCCAGGACCCCAGGATCATGACCTGAGCAGAAGGCAGAGGCTTATGGACTGAGCCACCCAGGCGCCCCGCAACACTGTCTTCTTGGAGATGCAGGACCTGACAGCCCTGAGTTTCGTATTCATGTGACATCATTCCGCATTTACAACACGCTCACGGCCACCGCTGTTTGTTGGCCAGGCTGCCAAACGGAAGGGCCAATTCCCACCGCGGCTCTGCCCGCGCCTCGCCGGCCTGGGACGTGCCCGGGGTGCGGCCAACACAGACGCCTGCCTGGCTCAGACCCAGCAAGGCTGCGTGCTCCCGGTCTGTCGCTAAGCGGAACAGTCACGACTCTGCCTCCCACCCCCCCATCACAGTCTCTCCCTCAGGGAATCGTTCTCTGAAGGCAAAGCTTCAAGTTCTCCACTCTTCTTGGAAGCTCAAGCCTGTGGGGTCTCTGGGAGTCTCTGGGGATGGGGGCAGACGTGGCCCTGGGCGTCCTGCTGCAGACTCTCAGGGATGGGTCTACGGAGCAGCTGCCCTGACCCCAGAGAGATGCATTTCCCTTGACACAGGTTTGGAGCTCCTCTACCCCTTGGTGCCACCTATCCGTTCTTTAATCCCAGAGGCCGGGCAAAGAGCCTCCTGTGAGATAGTTGCACCCCCCCCGCACCCCTTCAGCCCGTCGTTCTACTTGCCACCACGGCCGGCCGGGCCCCAGCGCCTCCCATGTTTGGGCCCCAGGACTGGAGCAGCCACTAACTTCTGCCAGGCTGGCCTTTCTGAACTGCATTCCCAACTGCACAACTTCCCATCATGCTAGTCGTGCCCAGCAGCCTCCCAGGGCTCCCCACAGCCTGGCAAGTACACAGGCTGGCGTCCTTCCTCGGCCTGGCGGAGGTCCCCCTTCAGGGTGTCGTCTTCTCCATCCTTCATGCGTCCCCCTCCCATCCCACCTATGCAAGTCATAAGCCCCAAATTAAGCTCTTCCTCGTGGGCCTCCAACACTTCTCCGCTAAAACCCCGCTGTGTCCTCCCACTACCAATGCTTTCCATTTTTTCATGGCTCTTAAGGCCCTACTACCATGTGCCCTGCCCTGGAAATTCTCTTCCCAGCCCTCCCAGACAGACAGACAGACATAAGCCCTCTTCCTTATGACAAGCAGCATCTTCAGCTAACACCGGTGACTAGGCACTCAGCACAGGAGCCCTGTGCCCAAAACCACAACATGCACAGGGGGTTCCCAGCTGTACAGCTGAGCTGAGAAAGGTCAAGTGGTCGTCCAAAGTCCCAGCCAATAAGGAGCCAGCCATTGGTCAGAACCCAGGTCTGCCAGACTTTGGAGACCCTGTGTGGCCTCCCATAGCATTTATCAGTGCACACCGTGTTTGGCTCTACGGTTTTGTGGTGTGTATCTATTTTCCCAGACTGGCTGGTAAGGTTTTTATTCAATTCTTTTACAGACTGTCATCACCCCACCCCCTGTTTTATTTCTTCCACGTGACTTATCATCAGTTGGAAGAAACTTGGATGTGCATCTGTGTTGTCTTCCTCATTCCCCCTAGAGTGGGGACATCAGGGGAGCAAGGACTGTCCGTTTTGTTCACCATTGTTTCTCCAGCACCTAGAAAGCTCCTGGCCCATCATCCATCTTCCAGTATTTGTTAAATAAGAGACAGGGGCGCCTGGGTGGCTCAATCGGTTAAGCGTCTGCCTTCGGCTCACGTCCTGATCTCGGGGTCCCAGAATCAAGCCCCGCACCAGGACTCCCTGCTCAGCGGGAAGTCTGCTTCTCCCTCTCCTTCTGCCCTTCCCCCTGCTCATGCTCTCTCTCTTTCTCTCACTCAAATAAATAAATAAAATCTTTAAAAAAGAGAGAGAGAGAGAGAAAATGGAAGAAAGCAAGGAGGAGGGAGAAAGGAAGAGTGAACTAATAAATATTTGCCCAATAAATGAATCCAATAAGTCCCCTAGATCATTTAGGAAAACCTTTAATGTGTGAAGGAAGGAACGCATTTGTACTTACTGGCAAGAATATTGTTCAATTTGCTCCTTAGGACTATCTTTCAATGAATCGAAAGAGGAGAGAAGTGTCCCCAAAAATCAAAGGCAGGGAACATCTATCAAATATTAAATGCAAATACGATTTGACAAAAAAAATTCTGCTTCTGGAAAATTATTCTACAGACATACTCACAGGCATACAAGGTTATTCCCTATGGCATTATTTGTTGTAGTGAAAGATTGGAAACAATCCGTATGCCCATCAAATAGAGACTGTTGAATAGAAATTATGGTACATTTATATGATGGATTATCACCCAGAGCGAAGAAGGAACGAGGAAGATATACTGACAAGGGAAGATCTACAAACTATATTTTAATTGAAAAATGCAGAGTGCAGAACAGGGTGTCTCATATGTCATCTTTTGTGTACGGATGGATGGGATGGAAACGATCTTTGCTGTGCAGGCAGAGAGAAAGCCGGGAGACACATAAGAAAGTAAGCACAACGGTGGAAGGTTGGGGGCAGGAGGTGAGACCATGTCGATGGGAGAAAGGAAACTTTTCATAGTATAAAATTACCTGAGACCTCTTGGGCTGCCCTAATCAAATACCACAGACAGGGTGGCTTAAACAACAGAAGTGTATTTCTCACAGTTTTGGAGGCTGGGAAGTCCAAGGACCAACAGACCCAATATCTACTGAGTGCCCCCTTCCTGGTTCACAGGTGTCTGTCTTCTCCCTGTGGCTTCCATGTGGCAAGGGGTGGGGGAGGGGTCCCTGGGGCTTTTTTCACAAGGACACCAATCCAGGTCCTGGGGGCACCACAACATAACCTGCTCGGTTTCACGGGTTCCCAGCTGGAGAGGAACTTGTACGTGGGGTCTCTCCCACCTCTGGTCTACATGGTCTGGAGGCCAGACCTTGGATTTAGACTTTCAAGCTGATGCTGGAGTGAGTCTTAACTCACTGAACTAGAACGCCTTTTGCACGCAAGGACAGAGAGGGGTGGAGTGCGATAGACTGAAAGACTGTGTCCCCCCAAAATTAATGGGTTGAAATCTAACCCCGAAGGTGATGGTGTTTTTTGGAGGAAGGACCTTGGTTGGGGGGAGGATAAGATGAATCCTCCCGAATGGCATCAGCGCCCTTCTGAAAGAGACCCCAGAGAGCCCCCTGACCCTCGTGCCATAAGGACACAGCAAAAAGACATCTATGAACTAGGAGGCAGGCCCTTACCAGACAGTGAATCATTATTTTTTTTTTAATATTATATTTATTTGAGAGAACAGGAGAGCGGAGAGGGTCAGAGGGAGAAGCAGACTCCCTTGCTGAGCTGGGACCCTGATTCGGGACTCACTCTCGGGACTCTGGGATCATGACCTAAGCCCAAGGCAGTCCCCTAACCAACTGAGCCACCCAGGCATCCCCAGAGAGTGAATCTGCTGGCACCTTGACCTTGGACTTCCCAGCCTCCAGAACTTTGAGAAATGACTTCCTGTTGTTTCAAAGCCACCCAGTCTGTGGTGCTTTGTTACAGTGGCCTGAACAGATTAAGACACACATTTCACCTGCCAACATGCAAACCTAAACAAAACAAAACAAAACCCGCCAGCGACCGAGAGTGAGCGCACCTGAATGCCGGGAGGAATGCTGTAGATGATCCGGATGGTCTTGCAGTCGGGGTGGCCAGGCAGGGAGTGAGGGATGAGGTGGTACTCCATCTTCCCCGGGGGCTGAGTGCCTGTCTTCACTCCATAGATGGTCTTACAGGTTGGGCACTGCAGACTCCCATCCTGAGGGGACAAGTCAGGAACAGCCAGATTGGGAATCAGTTTGGGTAACAACCTCCCCACCTAACGCTGGAAGGAAACAAAGATAAAGGGCCAGGGGAACAAAATGCACCCGAATAAGTAAATTCCACAGCTTGGCTCCCTGCTAAGGGATGTGTAAGAGAGACCCCACCCTTGCAAGGGAGACCAACTCCCGAGGGCAGGTTAAGTCATTATTTAACTGCTAAGTACCAAGCAAGTGGGACAGACAACGAAGCACTAGGGGGCAGCCACTGCCAAACAGCCAAGCATCACCACCCCCTGAAGAGCTTGCTAGAAATAAAGATGTCTGGACCCCACCCCAGGACACCGAGTTGGATTGGTCAGGGGTGGGGGATTGGCCCCAGAACACAGTGGTTAAGAGTAAAAAAATAAAATAAATAAATAAAATAAATGAAAAAAGAAGAAGAAGAAGAGTAAGAACTCTGAAGTCAAACGGCCGGGATTTGATTCTCAGCTCAGCCATCCACCTGCTGTGTGACCTTGGGCAAGTTAATTAACCTCTCTGGGTCTTGATTTTTGTTTTTTTGCTTTTTTGTTTTGTTTTGTGTACAAAACAAGAAGATAATAGTATCTATCTCACCGGGTTGTTGGAAGGGTTAAATTAGATAACCCACAGGAAGGGCTATACACCATGAAGAGGTGTATCTAAATGTTATTTGTACTTTTATGATCTCTGTGCCGAGTCTAATGTTCCTCCAGGAGCACTGCTCTGAGAAGAGGAAGTGGGCGCCATGTGCTGGAGTAGATGAAGCTAACTTTTAAGGAAATGGTCCCTGAAGAACAGCTGTGAATTGGCTTTAAAGGAGGGAGGATAAGGTCTGCCCACACAGTGAAGGAGGGAATGAGTCATTAATTATAGCATTTTATACCTTACAACAGAGTTTATATCTTGTTTCATTTAGCCCTCACCTGAAAGCGGCTGAAAAGGAATATTAGCCTTATTATTATTATTAGCCTTAGGAAATGAGTCCCTTTAACAGAGAGGAAAACTGAGGCACAGCACAGTTGAAGGTGAGAGCCCCAGCCGGTGTGTGTAAACCCCCCAGCTCTGCATAGCACCTTGGTGGCTGTGGTGGGGGGCAGGGCCAGGCTCTGGATGCAGAGATATAAGGGGCCCTGGCTTCATAGGGGGGCCCAGCGAGGCTTGGCCTGTGTTGGGGAGGAGCCTTGTTCCCAGGCTTTCCAGAAGAGAGTCGGTGAGAAGGAAGACGTGAGCAGGGAGCAATGTGTGCAGAAAGGGCTTTTGCGCAGCTGGGAGAGGAGCTCTCCAGGACATCTGCAGCATCTTAGGAGGACTGAGATCCTCTGCGAAGCTATCTGGGGACTTTTCAAAGGAAGCTCCAAGAATTTAAAAGAAAAACTTGTATTGAGGATGATGGAGAAGTTTCCTTCATGCGATGGATGGATGGGAACCCAAGGCTTGGGGTCAAGAGCCTAAGGTCCCGCTCTCTGCTCTGGCAGAATCACTTCATTTCTCTCTGGGTCCTTTTGTTCCATCTTCTGTGCAAAGAAAATTTTAAATGCATGCTTCAAAGTATTAGTGCTAAAAGAATGAAGGATAGTGTCTTGAGGCATATTTCTGAAGCACTATGGAAATAAATACAAAAAGGTACTAGATTATTCTTGAAAACGGACACCAAAAAGGGAATCAATGTGCTAGAAAATCCCTTTAAATCCAGAATAACCCCTTAAAATGCAAAGTCCCAATGAAACTTCCTAACCTAGGGTCAGGAAGTTGAGCACCAGACTGGACAGGCATCACCCATCAATGACTGAGCGTGAGCCCTCTGAGTCAGACAAAGATCCCAAGGTCAGCACTATGGGAACTTAAATCCCAGGCTATATAAAGATGAAGGGAAAAATTACAGCTATCATATCAAGGAGATATCAATTTGAATAATAATGGTGGTAATACCCTGTAAACTAGGTATTGTTTTATCTCCATTTCCAGGCGGAAAATGAAATCTCAGAGAGACTGAAAATCTTGCCCAAGGTCATCCAGTTGCTAAACCAGGTCCAGCTTGGGTCTGCTACCTCTCTTGCCTCTATTTTTTCCCACAGCAAGAGAAGTCCAAAGCAGCCTCCCAAAGCCAGAGTTTTTTCGGGGGTGGGGGATGAGTAAGAAGTTGGAGATATCAGGGAAATCTCAGACTCTGATGCTGTCCGAGCTGGTCTGGAGAAGCAAGTAGGACTTGAATTTATGGAGATGGGGGAGGGATGGTAATCGTGGCACAGCAAAGAACAGGAGAAAATTCAGTGGCTTCGTGAAAGCTCAGACAGTGTAAGAGAGAGTTATCATCTAAGGAGACTCCCAGATTCCTAGGGACCAGCTTCATAAAGGAATAGCACTCCATCATCAACAATGGACAAGACGAGCATCACAAACGGCCTTCCCATGGGGTGCTTGGGTGGCTCAGATGGTCGTGCGTCTGCCTTCAGCTCAGGTCATGATCCCAGGTTCCCAAGATCAAGCTCCAGGTCAGGCTTCCAACTCAGCGGGGAAGTCTGCTTCTCCCTCTGCCCCCCTCCTAGTGCGCTCTCTCTCTTTCTCTCTCTCTCTCTCTCATGAAGAAATAAAATCTTAAAAATAAACAAACAAATGCCCTTCCCCTTCTCCAACAGGGGGTTTCAAAGGGCCTAGCAGGAATACTTCGGCATCAGACCCTAATGCCTCTGAAGGGGCGATTGGGGGTGTTTTGAAATTGTCCATAGAAAATGAATTGTAACTGAAAATCACTAGCCCTGGAGAAGGACGGGTAATTTCGGGAAATCCGCCTACACTGGTAGTGTACCATGGACACCTCCCCTCCTCCACCACCCCCCCATCTCCCTCTCCCCAACCCCAAGAACCTTCAGGGACTGGAAGTCTACACCTCTCAGACCATCACACCCAGTGTAGAGACTGGGGGCAGTTGCCTAAGACAGGTTATCATTTCGTGGAGGCCTGATGCTGCTAAGAACAGCCGAGACGCCCCTGCCTCCGCTGACCACCTGGGCGCAACCCCAAAGGGGCCCAGCATGGGAGGTGGCAGGTGCCCCACGGGCCAGTGCTAACCTTGTTGCCGTTGTTGTACATGGCGACCAGGCAGTAGATGTGGTAGATATGGCCGCATCTGGACAGCTTGCCCACCAGCTCAGGCTTGACCGTTGGCTGTAGGCCCTTGTAGCCTGAGGGGGCCGTGAGGCGCTCCATGCAGATGGTGCAGTCCTGAGGGTGGGAAGGGACAGGGCAGAGAGACCATCAGCTCTCACCGGCCTGGAAGCCTGACCACCTCACCGTGAGGTCCAGCAGCTGTCCCCGCTGCTCTTCTAGGTATAGACGAACGTGCTTTTGGGAATCTAAATACAGCCTTATCTCACTTTACATGACAGAACAATTCTTCCAATAATTGCTGGCGTCGGTCCAGGGCTCACCCTCAAAACTATAGGAGGAAACAGACTCTTGCCCATAGACCCCTTTAAGCTGAGGAATTGTATTTAAATAAGTCCACAAGAGGATTTCTCAACTTTGGTGTTATTGGCATTTGGGGTTGGAGCATTCTTCCTTGATCGGGCTGTCCTGGGAACCGCTGGGTGTTCAGTATCCTTGGCCTGTGCCCACAAGCATTCCCCCTCCCCCCAGACACGCAAAATCCCCTCTGGCTGAGAACCACCAATCTACATCAAACCCACTGAAAAGTCAGCTCCCATAGCTTATCATACCGTTCGTCTTATATTCAGGCTCTTAATGGAAAGGTAGCTTAGACTCAATCAATCAGCTCTTTACTGAGCAGGGTCAGGGGGTAGGGAGGGTCAGGGGACGACTGCAGCCCCGGACCACCAACCTGGGAGCCCTGGGTCAGCTCTGAACGGCTCTGTGCCCGTCAGGACACAGCCGGTCACGCAGCCAGTCAGCTGCTCCCACCGCATGCTGAGGAAATCTCCGGCAGGGGAAATGCTGGTGGGTGAGCCCCGCCCTGCTCCCCCTGCACTCACCTCTTCGGGGGGATGCCGGACTTTCTGCAAGTACTTCTTCAACACTTCTTCTGGGGTTTTACCTGTGGGGAGACAGGATGGTTGGTGGGCCACCAAGACAGAGATAGGGATCAAACAGCCCTGTCAAGAGGGGTTTGCCAGACAGGGGCTGTCAGCCAGGATCCAAGCAGGAACTCATTCTGCAATAATCAGGTGTAAGACCCTGAAAGGGTATCAGCAGATGGAGGAGAGAGAGAGACCGGGGATGTCTGAGGTGGTGGGAGGTGTTCCTGCCTGTCCTTACCTCCTGCAGCCTTCTCCCTGACATCCCCAGGGGCCTATTTTCAACAAACCCAGGTTTTGCCTGAGATCTGTTATTTGAGTGGGTTTCTCTTCCATATAATCAGAGCCTGGGCAGGCCCCCAACGATGCGGTGAGAAGACAGCCGAAGGCCCTGTGTAAACTGTTACATGTTAAAAAAAAAAAAAAAAAAAAAATGCGGTAGGCTTATCACTTTCTCCTTTCACAACGTGCTAAGTACTGTCTCGATCTATAATGTGGTGTCAGAGTCACGTTATTTTCATGGGAAAGCAGGAAGTGATGCCCGCAGCTTCGGGATGCTGTTCCCTGGCCGCTGGCGGTGCTGCGGCTGCCAGCAGAGAGAGCCCGGCAGTGGGCAAGCATCCTGCCAGCTTCCCGTGATTCTGGAGGTTTCTCTGGGGACGGGACTAGGAGGCAGGACGACACGCCTTCAAAAGGGTCCTTGCCTCCCTGGGCACCCACCTGTCGGAGCCACTCTGAGCTTCTGTTTTCTCCCCTCTAAAACAGGAAAAAGCAACAGCACCAGCTCAGAGGGTTGCTTTGACAATCCGGTGAGCGAATGGACCCAGAGTCCTTTAGCACCTTTCCAGCGAAGGGTCCAACGTGCGCTATTAATAATCACAGGAGGAGGGGTGCCTGCGTGGCTCAGTTGTTAAGTGTCTGCATTCGGCTTAGGTCATGATTCCCGGGTCCTGGGATCCAGCCTCGCATCAGGCTCCCTGCTCGGCGGGGAGCCTGCTTCTCCTTCTCCCATCCCCCCTGCTTGTGTTCCCTCTCTAGCTGTGTCTCTCTCTGTCCAATAAATTAAAAAAAAAAAAATCTTTAAAAAAAATAATCACAGGAGGACCACGGCAGTGTGAACTCCTGTCATTTCCTATCAGACGATGAACAAGGCAATCGAGTCCATGTAAGTAGAGAACTTTTGACGGAACAGAGAAGTAGGACAAGGGTTTGAGGAAGCGGATCGTGCGACTGTCAAAAGCCGGGATGCAGGCCCTTCCTTACCACCGTTCTGCTTCTATAGAGTTAAGCTTCTATTAACCGAGAGCCCATTACCTGCTGGGCCCTGGGCCGAGTTACAATGTAGGTGAAATCCCACTGAAACTTCGAAACAAGGTTGCCAGCTGGGGGCTTGGGGTGATGGTCAAAACTTGTAACAGCCAGTACCGCAGTCAGAAAGACCAGCCACGGAGCTGGGACGGGGTCCTTTGGTGCGAATGTAGGTACAGGTCTCGGATTGCACACCGGCAGGAGGGAGGCCCTGAAGGACAGTTTGCACAGATCTAGCGGCTCTAGAGGGACACAGGATGGTGGTTCGTCCCTGGCTGGCATGGATGCACTCTGTCCCACACCTGCCCCATACTGGTTCTGAGCACTGTCACCCCATCATAAAGGTATGAAAACAGTCTCTCTGTGGCCACACGACTCGCAGTGGCAAAGTCGGGGTTTGAACCCAGTCTGTTTGGGTGCCAGGGCCAGGGCGATTTTCCTCTGTGTCACACCTTGTGGTTTTATGTTTCTCTCTTTCTGTGCTGCTTTTTCATCCTATTAAAGTGTCTCCATCTGATTCGTACACAGCCCACTTTGGGTACAGTCGTTGGGACGGGTACCAGTTGGGCCCACTTAGCAGAGGCAGAAATGAAGGCACAGAGGGTGAAGCCATGGGTGTGACCTTCAGTGATGGTGGCCGAGCCACAGCTGGGGCCCAAACCTTTGGCTCCCACACCCCACACGATAAGGAGGCCAATACCTTTCTTGGCTTGCTTTTTGGTCGTCTTGCGGCTCGTGTTGGAAACCCCTGGGATGGATTTGATTTCACTCTTGCTCACCGGGGGTGGGTGGAGGACCAGCTTCGGGGGCCTGGTGAGACACACAGGCAGCCCCGCAGCGCTCATGAGAATCCCAGTGATTCCTAGAAGGGCAGGGCGTGAGGAAGGACAGCAGAGTTAGCTCCCAGCATCCCCATAAACCTACACTCTGCTTCCCAGCAAAGTTTTCAGAACTCACTTTTTCTCCACCTCCCCTTCCTCAAAGTTTTCCCCAGAAATATATGCATTCACTCACCTTCAACAGCATGCTTTGCTTTTAACAATCGGTTCTCCCCACACTCTTCCTGCCCTGCCGGCCTCAATCCTAAAACCCTTATTCACTTTAATTCTTTCTCTTTTATAAATGCCCTCTACCGACGTTCCTGCTTCCTTTTTCTCCCCTGAGCAAGGGCAGCCCAGGGTCTCTCTTACCTGCCAAGGCAGGGTTCACAGGACTGGTCCCATTTAGGTTTTTCACTGGGACAGTGGGGACCCTGTGGGAGACAAGAGCGGGTACGTTATGGTCTTGACAAGCCGGACAAAATGAGTCAGTGTTCGAACCCCCAAAATTCACCCACTGAGGGGGGTTCCCCTTTTATACTGAAACTACGTATCCCTATTCAAGGCAGAGTCCGTTCTTAGCACCACAAACAGAAGGGTTACCTTTATTTATTTTTTAGAGATTCTATTGATTTATTTGTGGGGGGGAGGGGCAGAGAGAGAGGGAGACAAAGAATCTCAAGCAGACTCCCCGCTAATGTGTGGAGTCCGACATGGGACTCAATTCCAGGACCCTGAGATCATGACCTGAGCCGAAATCAAGAATCAGATGCTCATCTGACTGAGCCAGGCATCATCAGAAGTGTTACCTTTTTAAAATCTAAGACCATCTCAGGGCGCCTGGGTGGCTCAGTGCTTTAAAGCCTCTGCCTTCGGCTCCAGTCATGATCCCAGGGTCCTGGGATCGAGCCCCACATCGGGCTCTCTGCTCAGCAGGGAGCCTGCTTCCTCCTCTCTCTCTGCCTGCCTCTCTGCCTACTTGTGATCTCTATCTGTCAAGTAAATAAATGAAATCTTTAAAAAATTTTTAAAAAAAATCTAAGACCATCTCATTTAATACTGTGACTCACTCCTCCCATCCCACCTCAATCCCTCTTACCTTGCTCTATTTTCTTTTTTCGTGGAACTTATGATTTTTTAAAAAAATAAGTTGTTGCCTTACTACCTCCCCTTCCAGAATCAAAGCTCTGTGAGGGCAAATATCTTTGTTTCATTCAGAGCCTAACACTAGCAGGCGTTCAGTGAGTTTTGGTTGACCGAATGATAAATAAAGCAGCAAGTTCAAACCTGGGCGCACATTAGAGTCACCTAAGAAGCTGTTAAAAAGACAGAGCCCCAGGCCTGAATCAGAACTCCCACCGGCGGGGCCCAGGAACCTGCATTCTCACTAGCTTTGGCTAACAGGATGCAGCCCAACACTGGGAAACCACTGCTCCAACAGCTGTCACCCCTCCTTTTCCCTGAGAAATCTAAATATCAAGCAAAGCCTCCTCCTCTTTCTGTCCTTCTCCCCAGAAACCAGAGCCAGGTTGAGAGGATTCGGCACAGCTGCCTGGGAAAGGCGAGGCCTCCCACGATGCCAAGTAGAGAAATATGGGACACAGGAGGCCGGGTATTGCGCCATCCCACCCCCTCTCCCCACACCGCCCCACCGCCACCCAGGCTTCTACAGCTGGGCTCGGAGAGGAAAGTGGGCTGGGAGACACATGGCCTGGGTCACAGATGAGTCCAGGAGCCAGCGGTTCTGCTGTGGGGGCAGGGTTGTGCTGGGAAAACAGGAAGGGGAAGGCCATGTTCCCTTGTGTCTTTATATTGTTACTTATTTGCTTGTTTGCCCATTCATAGTGAGCCCTACTTCGTGTGGGACGTTCTGCTGGAGCCTGGGGATGCAGCCGTGAGCAAGGCAGCCTGTGGCCCTTCACCCTTGGGTGGTCATGGCGGGCAGGCACAGAGCCCACCTGGTACCTTCACAGTCGTAACGGCTCACTGTGTATAAATCCAGCCAAGACTTCTGACAACCTACGCAAGAGGTGCTATGATCATCGGCCTCATTTTATTAGGCAAGGAGGCTGAGGCACAGAGAGGTTAAGCGAGCTTGGTGGACGCCACACAGCTGTGTGTTCACACCCAGGAAGTCTGGCTCCAGAGCCCCCTGTTGAGCCAATCACCCTGCTGTGTCTTGGGTCTGTGCAAACCTTCTATCACCCCACAGTGCAGACAGAGAACATGGGAGGGCAGAGAGCGTAGGGAATAAACCCACGACTAAGACAGAGGAGTCGGCACAGGGCTGAGCAGAGGGTCTGTCTGTCCCCCACAAGCCTGCAGAGATGGGTGCTTCCCCGGCTGAGTCTTCCGGGGGCCCCTGTCCCTTCCTGGGACCGTGACATGTGTGCTGGGGCTGTGAGAAGGATGTGAAAGAACAGATGTGGGAGTGTTTGTGTCTCAACAGGCTACTCTTCCCCCAGGATAAAACAAACCCACGTAGGGGGAGGGGAAGGCTGAATTCAACACAAAGGAAAGTCAGCCAGGAAAAGAGGCCCAGCCTTGCTTTTGGACTCCGTGACCTGCCCCAGAGAGCCAGGCATGGTAGGGTGGACAGGACTCAGGAAAACCAGGTTTGAGTCCCAACCCTGCCAATAACTCCTCATGACCTCCCTCAGTTTTTTCTGAGCCTCGATCACCTTACCCATGACCCTGTGAGCGTCTGGAGTTAGCAGATGCCGGGGGCGGGGTGGGCGTGGGGGGGGTGAGGATTCCCTGCCTCAGTGCTTAAGAGCAAGGCCGCTGCCTAAGCCCTGGTTCCCCAACCTGGGCAGACTGCATCCCCGGGGCGGGCCTGGAGACCTGGAGGGAAGGGCCCGCAGCCTGTGCCCATTCCCCAGCTCCCCACCAGGGGTCAGTGGTCCCAGTCCAGCCCCACACCTGCCTTCCCCCTACCAGCTCCAAGGCCCCCCTCTCCAGCTGATAAGTAGCTGTGATCTGGGTGACAAAAGCCACCTTTGTTCCCACAAACTGGACTGGCAGGTTTCCACACCCAATCTGGTTAGCCAGGAAGGAGTCCAATCCCCAGAGCACACACCCTGGGCAGCCCAAGGACCCGGGGAGGGGGCCAGGCCTGAAGAGAGGGAGGGTCCACCTGAGGACCCCGGACTCCAGGCAGTACTGTGGCAGAGGCAGTGTCCCTGACATTCCAGGAAAGGGACAATGTGTCAGCTGGCTCTGGATGGTGGAAGCCAACTGGAGGAGGGGGGTATCTGCTTACGGAATGCAGAAGGGAACCATGGAGGGGCCCTGAGTCGAGGTTAGGAAGCCTGCGTTCTCGTCCAGCTTGGCACAGTGGCTTTGGGCCTTTGGGAGAGTCACACAGCCTCCTTGCACTTTTCTGACCATGTCCGAGTCACCACACCCAAAAACAGGGCACCCTACCTCTCCGTCCATGGGGTCCCTGTGAGGATCTAGGTCAAATACTCTGTAAACAGGCAAACCCTGTGCAAATTGGGTGGTTATTTACATATTGGTTTCCCAACTGCAAGAGGAAGTTGGGCTCCATAAAGCCTTTTCCTGCTGAAATCCTCCAGTCTTCTGAGATTCTGGAGGACATGGAGGGTACAGTGTAAAGTTGAGAGGCAGGCAATGCTTCGAATCCTTGAGTTGACTGCAGCTGATAAGACCCTCCCCCACGGTGGTGACTGGTTAAAATGGAAACCATGGAGGTGGTCCATGTCATCCCCACCGGTCACACCCTGCTGGGTCCCAGCTGTCTATGCCTGAGCCCTCCTTCCAGAAATCAGCGACCCAGCAACAGGCGTGCATCTCACACCCTTCAGGCAACTCCGCTCAGCCCGTGCGGTCTGGCCTAACCATCTGAAGACACCCTCCCCCATTCCGCTGGGCTGTTCTCAGTTTCCATTTCTGTCTCTCAAGCACAAAACTAAGAAAAGAGAAGAGCTGGCAAGGTGGCAGAAGGAGGCGGCTGATGGCAGGAGAAAAGCTCTGCAGATACCATGGTGAGAAGTAGTGTTTTGGGGGTGGGGGGGTGTGAGTTGTGAGTCGACCCAGGAATCCTCAGGCCGGACAATGGTCTTGTCTCGACAGCAACCAAAGTCTCGCCGGAGATAGAGAAGCCTCAATTCTGGAGGAGAGGGCCAGAGGGGCGACTCCTGCCCCCCACGCCGCAGCCCCCCCTCTTCCCTTTAGAAACCCCCTGCTTGTGTCTCTGAATAATTCACAGGGTCTTTTGTTCCCCGCAAACCCTTCTCTTCAGCCCAACCTCTCCCGCCCTCTCTGGTCTTCCTCTTTTCCGTGGGAAAGTTGCTTGAAGAGCTCACGGACAGGGAGAGGAGGGGAAGGGGCCATTCCACGACAGAAGGTCAACGGCAGTGCCGCACAAAGGGAGTAAGCACGCTAATTAAATGGCCAAGAAAGACTGGAGGACAAGATGGTGGTGGGGGGTGAGGGTGGTGGTTAAGAGGTAGAAAAAGGAAAGGGCTGGAAGATAGAGGGGTAGGGCGGGGCCTCCCCTCTCAGGAAAACAGAGCGGAGAGAAAAGCTTGTTTCTATAGCCCTTTTGAAAAGGCTCTGCCCGGACCTCCGCCCCATTCTCTCGCTCCAATTCCACTGGCAGGCAGGGGGAATAAAGCAGAGAGATAAAGAGCGGCCAATTCCCTGGGTGAGATTTAAAGTGATCTGGGGGTCCTTTGGCTCAGTTACGGCATGGGGTTACTTGGTATTTGCCCTGGGCTCCAGAAATGAGGTGGGACATTTGGCTCCGCTCAGCTCTGACTTCAACAACGACCTTCTATAGATACGTGTGAACAATGGCAGCGAACCCGGACCAGACGCTTCCTATGGGCCACGCACTGTGCCCCACCTAGACACTGAGTATTTCATTGAAGTCTTGTGACCGCTCTGAGAAGGGAGGTACTATTACTCTCCCATATCGCAGATGAATAAACTGAAGACCGAGGGAGGGAAACTTGCACCAAGTTACAGACCAAGGAACTTGGGTTCCCGCCCCTGGCGGTCAGGCTCTGGAGGAGGCTGTGTTTCTCGTCCACTACAAGAGCCTCCCTCTGCCACTCAAATAGTTACCCCAGAGTTCTGTCAGGGGCCCTCAGGATGCTGCTGGCTGACCTGGGGAAGAAAGTGAGCCATGGTGTGATTTAGGGGCCCATTCCCCTCTCCCAAATACTGTCAGCTCAGAAGTAGCCGTAGGAAAATCCCGTGCGCCTGACCAGAACCTGACCATTCACGAAAGGCCTTCACATACAACGAGGAGCTGAGCTTTGGCCAAAAGGACAGAGGACGAGGGGACTAAAACCCGGGGCTCCAACCCCCACTCTAGGTCACCTGAGCCGTGTGGTCCTCCTTGGAAAGTTAATTCTGAGCTGGGGCCCCAGGCCTGACTCTTGGCGGTCGGGACCAGGGTTTGAGATAACACTGGCAAGCACACCTGATAAACTCTCATGGGATGATCTCCCTTCGTGGAGGCTTCCACAGCATCTCCATGAGGCAGGCAAGGCAAGCCCCGACCATCCCCATCCCATGCACTAGGAAACTGGAGCTTGCAGAGACTGTGGCTTTGTTCAGGGGCCGGAGTGGGGCTGGGCCTTTCCTTCTGCAGCCCCCCTCCTCCTCTTTCCTCCCGCTGCTGAACCTCTGTGTGCAGACAGCCTCCTCTGCGCAGCCTGAGGTTTACACTCTGGTGTTCAACCTCACTGCAAACCCCCATGCCCGTCTGGGGCTCAGGGGTCACACGCAGGGCGAGGTCCTTCTGCAAAAAGGGAAGAGCGGGCCGGTGTGAGAGGCCCATCTCACCAGAAACCAGGGGCTGGCAGGCAAAGGCCGTGAGCACCACATGGACCTGGGTGTCTCCCATTTGAAGATCAAAAGACCAAGAGGATCACAGAACCCACACAACACCAACCTGCTCCAGGAAGTACTAAGCCTGCCCCAGGAAGTACTAAGGCAACGCACGGAAAGTGCCTGGCACACATAAGAAGTACTTGCCAAAGATGTACTATTATTTCCAATCTGGAGTGAGCCCTCCAGTTTCCGAGGAAAGGGCCTAACCGCATTTGGCCCCTACTGTAGGCTGGGCACTGTGGGGTGTGCTTGACAGAGAAGCAGCAGGCAGAGTCAGAACAGGAGGGCTCCGGGTGCCTGGGTGGTTCAGTGGGTTAAGCCTCTGCCTTTGGCTCAGGGCATGATCCCAGGGTCTTGGGATAGAGCCCCCCATTGGGCTCTCTGCTCAGCAGGGAGCCTGCTTCCTTCTCTCTCTCTCTGCCTGCCTCTCTGCCTACTTGTGATCTCTGTCTTTCAAATAAATAAATAAGATCTTTGGGGGAAAAAAAAAAAAAAAAGAACAGGAGGTCTCTGACTGTCAGACTTCCTGAAGCTTGAATCCTGGTCTCAGCTAATGAACACTCTGTGCCTTTGAGCAAGGGAACCTCTGGTTTCTTCATGGGTAAAATGGATCAAAATGCCTACTTCAAAGATTCACTGTAAGGATTAAATGAGGTGATAAAGCCCCCAGACCAGATTCTGGTGGGAGCTCATTTAGTATTGCCTGTCAGGGCACGGTGTGCCTACCCTTGCGCTCTCAGCATCCAGCCTAACGCGGAGATTAGCACCAGCCTTTGCAGGACTCTGGGATGTTAGGGATCTGTCCTGAATCCCATAGCTGTGCCAAGTCTCAATTAGAAGCCAGATATGATGGCCCCAGGGGACCGCAGAGAGACCCCAGACGGATCCCACCTTCAGCCACCACACGGCCTCGCCTTCCACCCGCAAACGCAACCAGAGGGTCAGGACAAGATCACAGAAAACTTAAGTCTTGGCAGCCCCTCTCTCACCTCTGGCCTGGGTCAGTCGGGTCGATGCCCGTTATGAGTAAATGCTGGGAGACAGCCCTGGGAGTACCTACCCAGAGGCGATCAGCACCCGGGACTGGGCAATGGCCAGTCGCTGCAGGTTGGTCCGATTTAAGGTCGCCAGGGCCACCCTTCCGGTCTTGCTGTTGGCTCCGAGGGGACTGGCGGGAGAACCCACGGTCACCCCTGCGGGCGTGCTGGAGGCCTGTCGCCGGATCGCCTGCGATGGGACAGTCTTCATCGGGCCTCGGACGGTGCCCGTGCTGTCCAGTGGCTTGGCCCCAGGGCCCGGTGGTGGGGGCAGCTTGACGGCTCCAGATGGGGGCATGTTCTTGCGGGCGGCTGGGGGCTGCAGCGGACCGGTGCTCCCATTGGCCACGGCGGCCTTGACGCTCATCACCAGGACGCACTGCGGGCAGGAACAGGGCGGGGCCGCGGGCGAGGCGGCCAATGCGGGGCTGGCCGGCCAGGACTGGGCCTTCGGCAAGGTGCCGGTGACCATCGGGTAGATGAGATCCAGGCGCCGACGGACGCGGCGTTGGCGCTGGGTCTGCCGGTTGATCTGGCCCATGGTGCTGAAGTCAATGACGTAGCTAAAGCCGATGGAAGTGAGGTCGATCCAGGGGTGCTGCTTCTCATAGGCGTGCTGGATGGTGATGCCCACTTCCATGTCATAGGGCGTCCAAGAACCGTTGTCATTCTCCCACTCCCACACCACGCCCTTGCCGGGGGCCGAGGACGGATCGTAGTAGTTGCGGCGAACCGGACGGAGCGTCCCTGCCAGAGTGGGATGGAGGACAGGGTCAGGGTCAGCCAGGACTGAAACCGGATTGTGTTACCTTCAGAGGCAAAGAGGAATCGGTCCTGTTGTGGGGCCAGGCCCTAGGCGGCCAGCTGGCTTAGCAGCTTTGAGTGAGACATCTTCCTGCACGAGGAGTGTGTACTTGCAGGGGTGGGAGCATCTTGGTGACAACGTGAAGGGTGTGGGGCCCAGCGGGATACCTGAAAGAGCCCCTGCCCATTTGCAGTTCCGAGACCTTGGGTCTGCAGCCAGACTGATTCACTTCCGAGCGTATGAGTGTATGTAGAACTCCCCAACCTCCTTTCCTCCCCTGAGAAACAATGAGTCCTTTGCAGAATTTTTGTGAAAATTAAATGTGACCCACTTAATTCATTCAACGAATATGTATTTGCCAGGTTCTAGATCTCTCCTGCACCTGCACTGAGGCACCTAAAGCCCTTGACAACATAGTAGGGGCTCATAAATATGGAACCACTTCTCCCCTAGCCTCTAAATGTCCCTGCCTCGAGGGCTATGAAGGGAAAGAACAAAGGGTCACGGAAGCCTACAGGCCAGAGGAAGAAGCCTCTGCCTCCAGGAAGGCTTCCAAGCAGCCCGTGGAGCTAGAGCGTGCTCCCTGTCCCTTTAAGGGTGTAGTAAAAACAAAAATAGAAAATCAGGTTGAGAGAACTCTCTTACACTTAGGAGATTTAAATCGTATACCAAATCAGTAGTGATGATCGTAATAATTTTCTATTTCTCTAACATCTTTCTTTCAAAAAGCCCAAACCCTCCTAAAGATAGGATTATTTTCATTTTCAGTCTCACTGGGGGAGGGGGCAGGGAAGGGGAGCCAGCATTCGTGCAGAGAAGGAGTACAGCAGAAATGAGCCTGCAGGACTGGAGGGAAACTAAGCCTGTAAGTCTTGCCTCCTTCTCCCCCACCCACCCCACACTTGGATTCAGACTTACACCCAGTCAGGGCTCATTTCATGGGTATCAACATCAAGGCTGAAGATGCCTGGGTCAAGGCAGGGTGAGGCGGCCTGGGAGGACCCCAAGGGTGCTTGAATCTCGCATCTGTCAGCTTAGGCTCTAGCCATCAAAGTGGTGGGAAAAGGCTCCCCTTGCCGGCCTCTGACCCACCCCCTCCTCCATCCCAGAGGGAGACACCAAGACTGGGGACAGAATTCCATTCAAGGGGGGAAGAAAAGGAACAATGGCTATTCAGGCCTTTGCCAGGGTCATAACCCGTCCCCCAACCCAACTCTGAGCCCCTTAATGACCCAAAACATCAACATTCAGAGGCCGGAGGGAGAAGCAAAACAATTCCCTATTCAGCACCAGGACTTCTGCTGGGGGAACTGTGGTGGTGGTGGCGGGGGTGGGGGGGGGGGGGGGTGTACGGGATGGGAGGAAGAGAGGAGGAAGAAGGGGGGTAGGCAGGAGTTCCCTGGTCTGCCTCCATTTCCTTCCTAAGTAGCCAGCTCACTGGGGAACAAAGAGCACAAGCTTTGGGTCCAACAGCGGAGGCTCTGTCCCTTCCAGCTGTGTGATTAAGCCTCAGTTTCCTCCTTCGCTTGGGCCAGGGTAGCTACTTCAAAGGGTGGATTTGCGGATTAAAGGAAGGACTGAATATAAGGCACTAAAATAACACCTGCCACAGGGCAAGAGCTCAATAACAGTTGGTTGATTATCATTGTAATTTATTTTCTATTATATGTCTATGCAGATGGAGAAAGCATAGGGAAAATTGAGTTCGGAGGATGTGGGGTGTGTGTTTGTGTGTGTGAAAGAGAGAGATTATAGGTAACTCCTTATACAATCTTTATTATTTAGAAGGCTCTTAACTAATCCCATATGATCTTCATGGCAATCCTAAGAAACACCTTTTAGAAATGAGGAGATTAAGTTTAGAGAGCTTAAATGACCCTGTTTTATATTCTTTCCAGGGCGGCAGGGGCAACGCACTTGTCCAATGCTCCCCAGTGTACTTAAGAGGCATTTTTAAACAGTGGGACCAACCTCAGAGATGCTGGAGAGCTGCCACAGAACTTCTGGAAGCTAGCTGTGGCTCCGTTTAGCTCCCCCATGCTTGACTTTTCCTCTACTCCTCTTATCCTCCTGCATTCCCTTGCCTACTATTTCCTGGCCCCCCACCCTTGAGATGCCCTCCTTTGCCATTTTTACCTAATGAAGTTGCCCTCATTCGGGTCCTATGCCATTTGCCAACAGTTTCCTGAAATGTTCTCCCAGTCCAGGCCCCCTGCCCCCCAGGAGGTCTGGGGTACTTATCTGTGGATGCCTGCCCCCGTCCTGTGTGTGCCTGTGCTGGCCTGGCATTCTTCTTAAGGGGGGCCTTAAGGGAAGGCAGAGACACCACCATCCAGCCCTAAGCTCTAGTGCCTAGGGCGCTGCCTGGCTCTCAGAAGGACTCAGTAAGCGTGCTATGATTGACGGTAGACTTCTGGCTACTTGGGCATTTAATCATTTATCCCACGCTGCTACTCAACCCACCGGCTGCTCTGCGGATTTCGGGCACTACTCAAATAGCTTACAATCTAAAACTAGACAAGTGTGCGCATCACTATTTATGAAGCAGAATGTGCCAGAAGAAGGGTGCCCACAAAAGACATGGGGGCCGAGAGAATTCACCCACATCCCTTTCATGCTAAAACCCCTTTCCACAACCTCCCCTTAGGTCACAGGATCTGACCCTCCCAGCCCCCAGTGTCTGTGGGCCACCTCATGCCCCAAGACCTGTGCCTACGTTGGTGCAACAGTGGCCTCTTCTCCACTCCCCCTACCCCCATGCTTCTCCTCTGGGGCCTTTCCACAAGGCTGGTTCCTTCCCCAAACCCTCTGTCATCCTTTTTGTGCTCATCCTTCAGAGTTTGCTCATTTCCTCAAGGAAACTTCTCCGGGCTGCCCTCACCAGATCAGATTCCCACTCTTATATATATTTTTTTCTTTACAGCATTTATCCTGATGTGCAGTCACATGTTTCTTGGTGGGATTAATTTGGTGAATGTCAGTCTCTCTCCACTGGACCCCCAGTCCTGCAGGGTGGGTATCAGGTGTCTGCTCATGGCTGTCTCCCTGGTGCCTGACATTTCCCAGGAGCTCCACATATACTGACTGAATAAATGAAAGAATGACGGGTGGGAGAACATTTCAAAGAAATGGATGACAAGGACCACAAGGCTTGCATGAGAAGAATTTCAACAGGCGAAAATGGCATCTCAGTAGAAGGGGCTTTGTGACTACTTGGGGGAGGGGGTGTCAGAGAACCCTAAGGGAATACATGAAGATAAAAAGATACCTGTTTGTCAGGAGTCAGGGGGGAATAGAAGGCAGAGAAGAAGAGAAACCTGGAAAGATGTGTTACAGCCAAAGCAGAGACGGTCTGGAAAGGCCAGGCTGGGATGTTGGGTTTTATCTGTAGGCACTGAGGGGCCAGTGATGTCTGTGACACAGAAGTGATGGGACCAGAGCTGCTCTGTTCATGAGTTCCACGTGAGAAGTAATGAGGGTCCTGGCAGTGAACATGAAAAGGAAGTGACAGACTGGAGGGACCCTAGGGAGAAGAAGTGGGTAGGACTTGACCTTGAGTAGCTGAATGCTTTCGGAGACAGATTCCAGGATCACCTGCTTCCAAATCTCCTGGGGAGCAGATTAGCAACACCTTCTAGAGTTCCCACCGGCCACTATGAGGAATCATTGGCCTCTCTGGGGCCTGGGAATCTGCATGGGAACAGCCACCCTGGATTTTCATCACGCACAAGAATTTCAGCAGCTGGGCCACAAGGTCCATGTGCCTCGACACACTGGGCACCTCAACAAGGCTCTGAACAAGAGTCAAAGAATCCTGAGTTCTTGACAATGGGCAGGTGATAAAACGGTGGCACCATCTGCAGGCAGAGGGGTGTCAAGAGTCAAGGGGAAGAGCTGGATTTTGGAGGGAAAGGTGCTGAGTTCATTCAGCCCTGCGGGTTGAGACAGAAGGCAGACCTCAGAACCAAAGCTGTGGGACAAAAGAATGTCACTGTGGGGTTTCCGTTCTCTATTGTCAGAGACCTCCGTAATCTGGAATGGGTTAGTCCTGGCCTCCTCTAAACGCAGGACCATGAACTAGAAGATCTGAGGAATCCACTAAGTCCTTGGGTGCAGTGACCCAAAGAAAAAGCCTCTAATGGGATAGAAATAATGAATGGTCATAAACTAGGCAAGGAGAAAGAGAAAGAAACTCCATTTTTCCTGGCAACTCAGACACCTGCATTCCAAAGCACCTGAGTTGTTTTGGCTCCTGGGAATTGGGGGAAACACCTTCCAGTCATGACCCTGTCTCAAGGGCACTTTACATGTGTGCATCCCTGTGCCAGAGAAATTCTGGGCCCCTCCAAATCTCCCCTCAGCCCCACTGGAATGTCCCACAAGGGCAAAGCCCCAGAAGTCCCGCTACTGGGCTATCCCATGTGCCTGCACGAAGTAGGTGCTCCAGAACTGTTTACCGATGACAGAGGAGAGCGTGGGACACTTGATTTGGCATCTCAGCTCTGCCTTTGACTAGCTGTACAAGGGGGAATGACATAATCTCTTCCAAGTTGTTTCCCTGCCTGTAAAATGGGTACAGTAGGTCCGTCCTAAGATCACTGTGAGGACTAAACGACAATGCGTGCAATGGGCCTGCAGCCTCCCCCACACGGTCACAGCCACATGGCCCTCATGACACTAGCGTCCTCCTCTCCGGTGCTCACACAGGGCAGAGGGTCTTGTGGGGACGTAAACATCAGCTTCTGTCAAAACTGTTCATCTCTCTTCATCTGACCTTTCTCACCATATTAAAGACACAGAAGAGGCAAAAGTTGCAGAGAAAACTTGGAGCTGGAAAGGACCCTGCCTCGCACCAGGTCACTTCTAAGCAGCGTCCTGACTGGTGCAGAGGCCAAACGCAGTCCCCTGGCATGATGACAGGACGGGACCCAGAGGATTCTTAAGGCTGCGCTTCATTCCACAGAGAAAATCGAGGCCTGAGCAGCTAAGGGACTTGTCCAAGGTCACACAGGAAGCCAATGAGTCTGCCATGAGAGCCTGAGTCCCGTCTCCCTACCCCCAGCCTGGGGTTCCCCACGTCCTGGGGCTGGAGCCCTGGAGGTGGTGACCGTCAGAGGTACTGACGATACAGGGGGCACGAATGCTGAAGGACAGCACTCCAGTCACTGTCCTGTGACAGAAAAGGCGAGTCTAGTCAACATAAATGACCACAGATGGACAGGACCCAACCAAGGCTCTAGGAGCAGCCAAGACCATCCCCTCCACTGTCTATCTCCTCCTTTCCTCCAGATTCCTTAGCCCAAAACACTCGCGGAGACCAGCACCGAGTGCAAATAACCTCAAACCCAGACACGGTGAGGGAAGTAAGGGCCCAGGGCAAACAAAGGCGGCAGAGGGTATCTATGACCTCCCAGTCATCTCCCTGGAGACAGGGTGGGCACGGCTGGAGCCCGGGGAGCCCAGAGTCTGAGGCCTCCCTCCCAGCAGGGCAGGCAACTTCTGAAGAAACAGGGCTCCCGTGTCAGGAAATGTCCCCACATAGAGGAGGCAACAAAAAGAGAGAGGACTCGCCTCTAGGCAGGGGACTTCCAGCTCTCCTTTGTTTGTGGGGATGTTTCTGGTTCCCAGCTTCAAACTGTGGCTTGGGGATGGCGGGTAATTTAATTAAACATTGCTAGGGCTTGGCTGAGGTTGCCTGGGCGCCGGCAGGATAAAGTTCCTACCCTGTCATGGCCTCATCAATGAGCTATATTGAGAGGAGCTCTGCGTCTGCTGGCAGAGAAGGGAGAGGAGGGGGCTCCGAGCCCAGAAACCCAGAGATTCTATTCTGCTTTGACAAGTTCCTTGACAGCCCGGCATTCCTGGGAATTCAGCCCAGCGCCTCCGGCACCCAGCGCGGGACCCGGCACTAGGAGCGAGGCGCTCAGTACCCGCTCACCCACCGACCACTAGAATGAGCGGATGGAATCCAAAGCAGTGTGAGTCGTGCGCCTCTAAGACGGACTCGAATATAAAACAGGCCCCGCGGCAGCCTTTAAAATGATGCAGGGCTAGCTCTCTGCCTCCAGCCTCCAGTCTGAGGGGACACGAGGCCGTGGTCAGCCTGTCCCCAGGGAAGGGTGGTCAGACCTGGGGGTAAGGGGGGGGGATATTGCTTCAGTCCCTCAACCCCATGCTCTCTGTGCCTTCACCTCTGTCAAAAGGTCGTCCTTCTTCCCCATCTTAGACACCCCAAAACATGATTAAACTTCACTCCCTCCCAAATGTGGGACAGGGACTGGGACCTTTTTGTCACCAGGGTGTTTCTCCATATGCTGCAGAGATTCAGCCTGAAACAGAAAAGCTAACACCTTCCTGCCTGTCTATTCCGAGCAGGACCGGAATGCCCCGTCAGGTGTCTTAACTGCTAGTCCTCCCTGGTCCCTCCTCCGGGGCTCAGCAAACCATCACCACCCCTCACCCCCAATCCTTTGCCTCCAACCTCACCTCCACAACCTTTACCCCAATTGCCCAATTACATCCTCCCCCTCCCCCTCCGCCACACTTAATCCTCTTTCTGAATCTCCCTACATTCCTCCACATTCCCTCCTCCCCCCCCAGGCGCTCTCAGCCCCACCTCCCTCCCTTTCTCACCAGGGTTTAAGCCCCTCCAGATGCTAAGACTTCTGGAATCCTTTCCCCCCAGAAAGCTTTACTCAGCTGGCCAGTATCTGCAAAGTCCCTGGCAAAAAAGCTATTGGTAGTTATGACTAAAGATGGGGACATGAGGGTGGAAAGACGCCCCTTTCCCATGACAATCCTAATTAGCACACAGGATGTGGGGGCTTTCCAAGGCGGCTGGGATGCCCGGCTCAGGCAGCTGTTCTCTGATCCTCTGGGACTCCCCGGGTCATCCTGCTTAGCCCCTCCCCAGCACACCTGCTTCTGCAGGCTCTGGGGTCACACTCTTGGGAAAGCCCAGCCAGAATTCCAGAAAGTCTCCCACCCTTGTAAAGAGAATCCTAGAAAGGCAGACTTGTCCTAGGTCCTCTGAAGCCTGGACACCCTGAGCTGAGCGAAGACCAGCTGCTCGGTCCTGCCACAGACCCATCCCCCTGACCTCCTCCCTGCAGGCTTTCCGCTTTGCTCTGACCTGGAAAGGCTAGTCAGCAAGCAAGTGGGATTGTGGCGGCCACAGTGGCAACTGGATTCACATGAAAATATAGGGGGTTAGTGCTCTGGGAGACCAGAGTGTCCCTCAGAGGGGACAGTTTCAGGACGGAGCTTGGGGACCCTTTCTCCTTAGGAATCCACCTCCTCCTCCTCCTACACGGACAAAGGGAGCGGCTTCCGAGCCAGGCATTCCGGAGCCGCGTCCCTCCCCCTCCTCTCCCCATCTGCTCAGGCCTGTTGCTTCAGCACTTGCAGTGCAGAGGCGGCACCGGCCAATGCCACCGCATCCAGGGCCTTCCATGCCCCGGAATCCCCCAGCTCCCGGCGCCCCTCCCAGGGCGACCACCCTTCCCATGCTAGGGCACCGCCAACGCCTCCGGGAACCCCTTCTTCCCTCCCGCGGGTCCCACCCCCGGGACCCAGCTGTGGGAAGGTATCCCACACAGAAGGGGCAGAGGCAGTAAGGTGGGTGACGAGGGGGACGTGTGTCAGTCCCAAGGGTGCCTGAGGCAAAGCAGGGTCAGCCAAGGTGTGAGGATGAGAGCAGGAAGCCTTTCCCAGCGGCTGGGATGGCTTGCGGGCTGGGCCGGCCCTCGAATTTCTACAGGGGAGAACTTGGGGCCAGCGAGCGCTTAAAAGGGGGCGCCGAAAGGTGTCACTTAGGGGCTCGCTTGAGGCTCCCTCTGCATAACGAGAACCCTGATAGTACTTGCAGGGACATTTATTGCAGGGGGATTGTAAGAGGATGGTGGGGAGTAAAGCGCCCCCTCCACAACCACCTCCCGGTGACACACTGCGCGGAGTTGAGGACTGGGTGGGTCCCTGGGGGCTCTTGAGGCGGGAGATCCCAGGGCAGGGAGGGGAGTTGGGCGCGGGTGGGGCAGGGGCGCTGGCTCACCCGTGTCCTGGCGGAACTGGTTCATGGACTGCAGGTCGATGATGTAGGGCGCGAGACGGCTGTCCACCTGGCCCAGCACCACGCTGCCCCCCGCGCGGGGCCCGGCGCGGACCACCGCCTCGATGTGGTGGCTCACGGCCGGGCTGTAGGGACGCCAGCGGCCGTGCTCGTTCAGCCATTCCCAGACCACCACGGCCGAGGCCAGGAGCATGGCGAGCCCCGGGCTGCGGCGGCGGCGGCGCTGCTCTGCCTGTCTCCCGGGCCCCGCGCGCGGGTCCTCCTCCGCTTCCTCCTGCGCCGCCGCCCGCGGGCCTCGGCCGCGCCCCCAGCGCCGCGCCCCGCCGCCCCGGGCAGCCTCAGCTCCGGCCCATGGGCCGCTCCCCAGCCGCGCATCCACCGGGGCCCGGACACCCGGGCCGCCCGGCTCCGACCGCGCGCCGCCGCCGCCGCCGGGGTCCGCCGCTGCCGCCGCTGCTCCGTGGGATCCAGCGGCTTCATGCAAATGCCCGGCTTTCCGCAGACGGACCCCCGCCTTGCAAAGCCCGGGCGGGCGCGCGGCCGGAGCTGGGCTGCCGGGGAGGCGAGCCCCGAGCCCTCGCACCAGTTGCGCCTCGGGCTCTGCAGACGCCGGGGTGGGACCTCGCCGCGCGCTCGCGCTCGGAAAGGCACGCCGGGCTCCCCTCCCCGCCCACCCCTCCCTGCCCACCCTCTGGCCGCGCGGACGCTGTCGCCGACTCGCCGAGAGCTCCCCCTCCCTGCGGCTCTGCTCAGTCGCCTCCAGAATGAAGCGCCCCTCCCGAGCGGGGCGCTAAGGCAAACCCGCGCCTGCAGGGGTTTCCCCCGTCCCCAGGCGCCCCAAAGCGACAGGCCATGACGCGGCCCCGGGACCGCAGCTGTCGCCCGCCACCGCTTTGCAGCCTCCCTCCCAGAAATGGAATTTTCTTTCTTTCTTTTTTTAATTCATCGTGATCGGTGTCCGCAGCACTGGCTCCGAGACACGGTGTCTCCGGCTCGCGCACGCACTCACACTCACACACTCGCACACACGCGCCCGCACCCCCACGCCCTCCTTGCTGGGCTCCTATTACCTCATCCTCGCCCGCATCCTTAGCTGTCCGTCAAGGATGCGGAGCCACGCCCCTGACTGCCAGGCCGCTGCCCCGGAGCTTGGTTATTCTCGCTGTCACTAGTTAACATGGAAAATAATCTAGAAGGGCAGATGAGCATCAGGATTTCGTGTTAATTTTGCCAGAGAACGCACACTTCACATGAATTTACATGATGAAGATGATCCAGGATAAGATAGAGAAAAATAAAAACAGTGTATGTGTTCGGGACGGGGATTATGAATCTCTTTGAAATACTCGTTTCCTCTCATAGTATCATAAACTTTTTTGTTGTGGAAGATTTGCTTTCCTGCAGCCATCCTTTCTTCTATCATTAGTATTACCCGTATCTTCTTCATCCCTCTGCCCTCGCCTCGCCCCTCACAGGGTTCTAAATACAAAGCAAAAGAAAAATATCAGAAATGTTCTTCTTGCAGCTCCTGGGTGGCTCAGGCGTTGGACCTCTGCCCTTGGCTTGGGCCATGATCTCGGGGACCTGGGATGGAGCCCCACATCAGGGTCCCTGCTCAGCGGGAAGCCTGCTTCTCCCTCTCCCACTCTCCCTGCTTGAGTTCCCTCTCTCGCTGTCTGTCAAATAAATAAAGTCTTTAGAAAAAAAAGAAAGAAAGAAAGAAAGAAAGAAAGAAACAGAAGAAAAGAAAGAAAGCTCCTTCCAGCCTCCAAAAAGTGCTAGGATCAAGGCTACCTGGGAGCCATATTCTTTTTTTTTTTTTTTAAGATTTTATTTATTGACTTGACAGAGAGAGATCACAAGTAGACAGAGAGGCAGGCAGAGAGAGAGAGAGAGAGGGAAGCAGGCTCCCTGCTGAGCAGAGAGCCCAATGTGGGACTCGATCCCAGGACCCTGAGATCATGACCCGAGCCAAAGGCAGCGGCTTAACTCACTTAGCCACCCAGGTGCCCCATGGGAGCCATATTCTTAATGGTGACTTTATCCAAAAGGCTCCCTAGCATGACTTCTAGAGATTCCAGTTAGTCTCTCCCAAAGGCCTCCCTCCAAATCCGATTCAATCAACACCTTCATTAAAACATCACATTTCAGGGTTTGAAGGTCAAAGGGGAAAGGAGTAAAGGAGATCTCATTTATCCTACCATTATTATTTCTACTATTATTATTTCTATCTTACTAATTATGAGACTTAGGGAATTAAAGCAATTTGCTCTAGGTTACATATTTAGCCAAAGGGGAAATTGGTATTCAAAACTTATCTGGATTCCCCCCCCCCCCCCCCCCACCCACCTCCCAAAAATGCCTATTCCATCTATGACAAGGAGGTGGTGTGGTAAGAAACAAGGTATGTGGCAACGTGAAGGAGCCTCCGTGTGAAGGAAGGGAAGGCAGATCATGAGGATGGGTGATTCTGGAAGAACAAATGTCAGAGTAAAGAAAAGGTAATCTGAAGGTTTAATGAGCTATTTTTATTTCCAATCATAAGACCAGGAGTATGAAGATTTGGGAAACTTTCTGGTGGTCTGGGTAAGTATAGATCCAGAACTGTAAGTACTGTTTTAAGGGAATGCTGGAAGTCCCAGGAAGAAAGGACGCCTGACCAGCTCAACCAGAAATTCTCAAGCAGAAAACACCTAAACCAGGTGAGAGGGCTGTGAACACGTTAGACCAGCCATTTGAAAGATGACTAGGAGGTAAGAGGAAGCTGACTTTTACTTATGTCCAGCATGATTCTGTGTCTGGTCTTGTATCTGCCAGTGTATTGCAACAGAACAAAACTTCCTGATGAGACAAGAGAGGGTTTGTATATAGCCTGATTCGTTTGTAAGAGGAAGTGAATATAAAGTTGACATTAGCCTTCAATTACAGTTGTAAAATGTGTATTTTTGATAAGGTGTGATGATTTATAATTTATAACAACCCCCTTGGCAATCATAATTTATAATTATGTGTCAACAATAAAAATAATATATTCATTTATACATTTCTCAGATCCCCCAACACAGTCTAATTTCAAATAATCTGTACCATAAACCCTCGAAAACCTCAGACATTCTATTTTAGTATCCAAAATATGTCTCCCCAAATCCCTCCTATTCCCAAGTGGCATACTAATCTTTAACCAAGTGAGGCACCGAGTTTGTAGTTTGGAATATGGCCGCTATAACAAAACCTCACTCACTGAGATGGAACTGGAAAGAAGCCAGTCTGAATAGTTCAAAGGTATAATCTGATGATACCGCAAAAAGTACCATCATCCCTTAATACTAAGTTTCAATGAACAAGGCATTCTTTTTTTCTGTGGAATGTTCATTTTTTCCAGTTACCTATTGCTCTTATCAGACATCCTAAAATGAGGGACTGAAAGCAGCAACAAGCATTTATTTTGCACATGAATGTGTAATTTGGTGAGGGCTGAATGAGGATAGCTAGTCTCTGCTCTGCATGGAGCTCAGGACAGCTGGATGGAGGCTGAGGGCTGGAATCACATGTAGGCTTGTTCATTCACATCCAGTGCTTGATTCTGGCTATCATCTGGGACTTCGGCTACACCTATCCATGCAACCACCTACACATGGCCTATGTTGCCAATTGGCTTCTACACAGCATGGAGGTTAGGTTCCAAATGAGTAGGACCCAACAGAAAGAACCAGGCAGAAGTTGCATTGCCTTTTCTTTAAGTTTTTTGTTTTTAAATAATTGTAGCTTCACATGTCATTGTAAGAATTCAGACAATCCCATGTTTTCCCCCTATATTATCCAACGGTAACATCTTACAAACCTATACTTAGAAAAGTATCCTACATGGGGTGCCTGGCTGACTCAGTCAGTAGAACATTTGACTTGGTCTCGGGGTTTTAAGTTCAAGCCCCATGTTGGGTATAGAGATTACTAAAAAATAATAACATCTCTTAAAAAAGTATTATACCATATCACTACTGATATCGACACTGTCATGATACAAAATAGTCATAATTCTGCTCCTTTATTGATACAATATCACTGTATCATATTATACAACATATAGAAAATATATACTTTGTATATAAGTATACACAATACACATTTCTATTAGCACAATGATCCACTATGTGGCCTTTTATTGCTACAACCAGTCCTCCCCCTATCATGCTGTCCTTAACCTCTAGCAATCACTAACGTATTCCCAAATCTATAATTTTGTCATTTCAGGAACGTTATGTAAATGGAATCACAGACTATGTAACCTTTGGGGACTAGTTTTTCCTATTCAGCATAATTCTCTAAAGATTCATCCAGATCGTTATGTATATCAAGGGTTTGTTCCTTTTATTGCCAAATAGTTTTCCATAGAATAAATGCACTATATTGCTCACCCACTGCAAGACATAATAGTTTGGGCTAGTATGAATAAAGCTACTCTGAATGTTCATTTACCAGTTTTTTTTTTAAAGGTATTTTTTATTTATTTGACAGACCACAAGTAGGCAGAGAGGCAGGCAGAGAGAGACAGGAGGAGGCAGGCAGAGAGAGACAGGAGGAGGCAGGCTCCCTGCTGAGCAGAGAGCCCGATGCGGGACTCGATCCCAGGACCCTGAGATCATGACCTGAGCCGAAGGCAGAGGCTTTAACCACTGAGCCACCCAGGCGCCTTCATTTACCAGTTTTTGCATGAACATAAAGTTTCCATTTCTTTGTGATAAATGCTCAGGAGTACAATTGCAAAGTCATAAGTTTAGGGGTTTTTTTTGGCATCTATATATCCTTTTCAATGAAATGTTTGTTCATGCCTTTTGCCGTTAATTTTTTTGTTGTTGTTGAAGCCTGAAAGTTCTTTGTATATCTAGTTAATAACCCTCTGGCGGATATGTGGTTTGTAAATATTTTCTCTCGGTCTGAAGCTTGTCTTTTCACCCTTTCTGCAGGGTCTTTCACAAAGCAAACATTTTTAATTTTGAGGAAGTCCACCTTATCAAATTTTCCTTCTATGGTTTCTGTTTTCTATGTCAATCCTAGGAATTCTTTGGCTGGTCCTAGGATTTGAGTATATTCTGGAAGTTTTTGTGGTTTTATAATTTATGCTTAAAATCTATGATTTATTTTGAGTTAATATTTGTATGAGAATGATGATTTGCTTGAATTTATATTTCCTTCCTTCCTTTTTTTTCTTTCCTCTTTCCTCCTTCCTTCCTCCCTTCCTTCTTTCTCATCCCTTCCTTCCTCCCTTCCTTCCTTTCCTCCTTCCTCCCTTTTCTCCC